GTTCATCTTCAGCTGTCATACTGAAAATTCAGGCCAGATGGGCTGGGGTGAGGCCATCGTCTCTTGGCTGAAAGGTAAGGTCACCTGGTTGGGGGTGAAGGCTCCTGAATAATGTGCAGGATCCCAAACTAGGGTCACTAACTGCCCATCTTATTTAGAAACCTCTAGGCCTCAGTTTTCCTGTCTTTCAGGTGACTGTTTGGGACTAGATGATTGAGAAACCCCTTTTTAGTCTTACAATTTTATCACTAACAATCACGGTGTTTCATAGCTTACAAATTCAATATGTAGGCTTAGGAATTATGCTCATGTTCAAACTCTGTCTCTGCCACTAACTAGCTGTGTACACTTGGGCAATTCACTTAACATGTCTCTATTTCTCTCTCTTTGTATTTCCATATTCAAAGAGTGAATTCTTATTTCATTGAGTGTAAGTGGCACATTTTAACATTTCTGAAATTGGGTGCATTTACATTTGATGGCGTCTAACAATTTAGTTGGCAGCATTGTTTTGTTCTTAGGAGTATATAAATTAATGGTACATCTTATAATTGATGGCCTTTTAGAGCCAAAGAAATATGGTAATAAAATACTACTTATAGAGTTGTGAGAATTAACTGAGATATGCATGTAACTACTAAATACATACTAAATTCTCAATAAAGGACAGTTGTCATCATCGTCATCAGCAGCAGAAGCAGCATCTTTTTTTTTTTCTGATAGAAGAGACACTGGTCTTATATTTATTGGTTTATGGCATCTTTTTAAACACCTCCTTTTTTCCTCCAGGACCCTCCTTGGTGACAATGTTGGAAACATGTTCCTCCTTGCCTTCCTCACTTTTTATAACATAGATGAGGTATTAGTCTACAAAATAATCTGGGCTTGGAAACCCTGAGTGATGCGTCCCTGAAACAAGAAGGAAGGGAAACATTTAGTTTCCTGCGTAAGACATGAAGCATGAGGTGGTACTTGGTGGGAGTGGATTTGCCCTTGGGTAGGTGGCTCTGCACTATGTGTTCAAGGATTGCAAGCTTAGTTGTCTCTTCTTCTCCTTCAACTGGCCTTGGACCTGTAGGAAGTTTGGCTGAAGACAGGGAATGATACTGAACCTCAGCACTACAGAATCTGCTTGGAAGTCCTTTGGGTGAACTTGTCCTACATTAGAGGGTTTCTGTCAATTGGGGAGAAAAAAGTCTGCAGTTCTTTGGGAATCTCAGGAAATCTCAACTGCCCTGAGGAAGACTTCACGATGGAAAGATTTGGGCAGTGATCTGGTCTCAGAAAGGACGTTCTGCCTTTGGATAGTCTTCCTGGATTAAAAGTTGTAGGTATTTTTGAAGGTATCCATTCATTGATAACTATCCAAGTGCCCACCACATCAACTGGGAAGGTGGGAGTGAGAAAAGAGATGAAAAAGCATGGTGTTTGAATTTAGAAAAATCTGGCTCAAATCCTGCTTGAGAAATTCTCTTATCCTCTCCAAATCTCAGCTCCCTCTCCTGTAAAAGGGGTAAAGATGGAGTCAGATTCTCCATATGAAGTCCTTAGCCCAGAGGTGGGTTGGCTGGCTGTATATCTATCTATCTATCTATCTATCTATCTATCTATCTATCTATCTATCTACCTATCTATCTATCTATCTTCTATCTATCATCGATTTATCTATCATCTATCTACCTATCATCTATATATCTATCTACATCTGCTTATCTATCTACCTATTTTTTAATCTAATTTTGCAAATCTTTGGTATAGTTGAAGAAAAAGTTTTTTATTTTAAGTTTCAATAGAATTTTTATGATGTTCATAAAATTATACAACTATTTAATCAAGAATTGAGGCAAAACAGCAATAGTAGTATATCCATAGAGCTTGCTGGGTTCATAACATGTGATGACTTAAGTGGAAATATATTTAAAATAATAAATTTATGTGCAGGAGTCACAACTTTTCTTTCATAGAGTAGCAGCCTTTTACTTTTTTGAGATACTGTAATTAAACTGAATATTTAATTTTTAACAATGCCACCAGACAGAAAGCACAAGTCCACCAAAATGCCATCTGCCAAATCCCATAGCCTCTCTAAGCACAGCCTGAGCAAAGGGCTCCTAGCTGTCCACACTCCACCCAATTAGGGCATGTAACTCCAGCTGTGCCCTGCTACCTCCATACGTTGGTTTTGAATACCCACCCATGTATTTGTGCTTAGATCCCTCTGAGGGAATTGAAAAAGGAGAAGGAGGGTAAGAAAAAAGATGAAAAGATCCGGAAAGAAGTCATTATGATTATGATTGAGGTTTGTTTTGCTTAGAAGCCGCAGACATACCAGGCTTCAAACCCATCTCTGCTTTGACCTTAACTTTTAGGCCCAGTTTTACTCAAGTCCTCCTTCTTAGTCCTTTCTCTCCATCAAAGCCAGTATGATTGTCCTGGAGTGCCAATCACCAAGCCACCCTCTTGCTTAAAGAGCCTTTAATGGCTCTCTATCACCTTTGGATGTGATATGTGTGGAATTTTTCCTTTGGAAAATCTATATGCCTTCAAAAGTTGGCATAGAGTACAGGTTAAAAACTTTGGACCATGAGATATAATCTGAACTCTATTATTAGGGCATATCAAGGCTTTTGAGATCTTGCCTCCTGTCTACATTGCCATCATCAGCACCCTTTGCTGCCATCATTTCATTTCATTGCAACCACATTGAATTACAGAGTAGTTAAGACTGTGGCCTCTGCCTGGACTCAGATTCTGTCTCTACCCTTATTCTACTAGAAGTGTGTTATTTGACCTCTCTGCATCTCGGTTTGCTCTTCTCTAAAATGGGAATAATAGTAGTATCCACCTCATAAGGGTTTTTGAAGATTAAATGAGTTTAGCACATATAAAGCACTTAATAGTCATACCTGGTACATAACACACACTGAATAAGCATTCGCTATTTTTATTAGCTATATGGTTTTACATATTTGCGCATATTACTCTCTCTGTCTAGGATGCCTCTCCACTTCCCAATCCCAGCTCCCTTTCACTGATTCTAATTCATCTTTCAAGATGCAGTTCAATCCTTCCAACCTTGTGAAGATTTCCAAGGCGTCTGACAGTGACCTCTTATGCACAACACATTGGTGCAGCTGCATACTTAATTTGTAAGTGACACTAGGCACCCATTTGCACACAGTCTTCATAAGGTTATTAGCTGTTCCCTGTTGTTTACATAGTCCCTGGGTTGCACTACCGCACCTGGCACATGGTGGGCCCCACTAAAAACTTGTTGAATGAATGACAGAGTGAATGAGTGAATGAATACCTGCCCTTCTCAGGAGAGAAAGGCACATGTGTCTTGAACATAGGTTCATGAGTCTTCAAATACTTATTGCCAGTCTGGTGCTTGGCATGTGCTCAAAAATGCTTTCTGAGTTGATCTGAAATATGTTCATCTTTGATTAAGTGAAATAAGTTTAACTTCAATGAAACAATAATAATCTTTTGAGAATCCTTTAGACCTTAAAAACAAAAGTTAATACTATATTTTCACTTATTAGAGCTTTCCTTACAAAATGCTTACAAGTTTTTGGACTAAACAAGAAGAACACATCCAAAATCAGAGAATTTTCTAAGAGCTTTCCTCTCACGAAGCTTCCGCCCTGTGCTTGCGCCCTGCCTCACCACACAATACACAAAACAGCACAAACACAACCTCTCTCCATCTTGGCTGATAGACATTCATCAAAGAACACAAACTTCTCAGTAGGGTAGGAAACAGAAAAAAGAAATGAAAAACAAAAGGGAAGATTCGTTTGGTTCAGTAACTATTTTTAAAAAGCACACGAGGCCAAATCCCTGGAATCCGGAAACCAAGGATGAAAAGTTCTGTACAAACCAGAATTCTGTTCCTCCAAAGCTTATGCCTTCATGGAAATTCTACTCTATAAAGGTTAGCATCTAATGGGCATGAGGGGTATTCAGACAGCACAAATTAACTCCTTAAGTATCATTGCAACTCCGCACCAGTCTTTGGGAGTACATACATTAAGGAGCCGTTAAAAAAAAAAAGAAACTAAATATAACTCAACAATCCTGATAGTTTATAATGCATATACAATTGGTTCACCTGCGTCCTTTTGATTCTCTATTTGAAAGAGAGAGCACAACGAGGAGAAAAGAGAGAGAGAAACAAGAACACATATGCAGGATTAATGAGCAAGTGGACCAAAATGCCCCCCACTTATGTGTGATATATGACATTGGAAGAAAAGGTCGCCCTTGGGTTCCCACCGCCCCGAAGTGTGGGGGCCAGCAAAAAAAGGCTCCTTCACAGAGGTGAAAAATGCTGCACAAATAGAAAATTAGTAAAATTAAGTTTAATGTGAAATCAAGCTATGAAACATACATGAACTTTCCAAGTGACAATTAAGTCATATGTTCTAGCCAAAGCTTAGAGGACAAGGACAAGTCAAAATCTCCAGAGAGAACAAGGAAAAGCTTTCCAGCTCGAGAGAAAAGAGACAGGAGGCATGTAAGATCTCATTTTTACAGAGAATGGACCACCTCATGTGATCTTATACCCACAATAGTTGGACATGTTAAACATGGAAAAGAAGGCATGATTTTGCCCCAGCTGTCCTTTATCTGACACCTAACATATTGCTCCCGGCCTAGATGCTATCTTTTTATTGTGTACCAGTGACAAGCACTTTACAAATTGGGGTTACACACAAGCAAAGTAAAAATGCATTCAGGTCACAGACAGAGAATAACTGAAAAACTTACGGACAAATCTGAGTTTATCACAAACAAATGGCTTAATTGTCTAACCTGTTTTAGGCTGATAAAAAGTGACTGGACTTCTCACACTGGATTTCACAGACAGAATCAACAGACAAGCCAATGCTAAACAACTTGAAGCAAGGAGAGTGAGTTGATTGGATCTGTATTTTCTTGAAATAATGAAAACAGAAAGAGTGAAGACAGCATGGCGAGGAGTGGTAGGTACTCACGAATGGTTAAATCCATCACTTGGGAGGCCAAGCAGAAGACAGGATGCTCATACATTTCTCTCTTTTTCCCTATAAAAGAGGATTTGGGCATGCAAGAGGCTTAGGTCAGAGGTAAAGAGGTTAAAGGTCATAGGTTAGAGGAAAACGTTACATTAGCTCAAAGGAAAATAGCCACAGAGTATTTTGGGATAAACACAGGATAAAGGAAAAAGGAGTTTCAAAATCGGAGATCTACTGGATTAACCATTCAGCATGCCGTGAGTCACGAGAGAGATTGTGACCATGATTTTACACGTCTCTTTAGAATTGTTTGCAAGAATACAATGACCAAAAACATCATGAGTAAAGGGAAACAGAATTTCATTGATTTAAGGCTCCAAGATACTAAGGATTTCAGACTTTAGTATCTAAGGCTCTTGAGGTATTTCTTCATAAACATAGTCTCCAGCAATATTACTACAACTTCTTTCCAAAATTCTCTGGAAACTAAGCTGTCAGTGCTCACAGAGGGGCTCAAATGTAAAAACGGACAGTTTCTTTTCTGAGGGTAGGATTGGAACCTTGTAAAAGAAAGTTGCCTGGTAGTAATATCTTTACAGCTGCAATGTCTCAGCCTATGGTGGACTATGTTCATGAAAGAAAACCTGATACATGCAGCCAGAGGATGTTGGGTTGTCTGAATTAACAATCCCAGCATGCTTTGAAATTGGCGTCACAGCCACTTTTGCAGAGATAATGTCAAAAAGTGGCTGAGCCAATCGCGAACAAGGAAGGAGAGAAGCAAAGAGAGCAGGTAGTGTGGAATGAGGTACTTCTCTGAAAAGAGAGTTGGAAAAAAAGGATTGGTTTCTTCAAAGAATCCCCAGACCTAAAAGTCACAGTGCAAAAGATAATTAACACAACCAAGAAGAATTGAGGCACAAAAGGAAATTACAGACCAGCTGATCTACTTTGGAAATGAATGCATTTTTACTTACAGATCTTAAAGTTTGTTTTTGGATATATTTATCTGAAAGAAGAGAGCAGATCTTACCAAGACTAGTAATAGCTAGACCAAGACCTAGGAGGCAGCAGCCATGGCAACCGAACGTTTCTTGATTCCATCCCATCTCTGGCCTCACCTAGAATTATTAGGTGCCCGGTTGGCATTACCAAATACAACCAATCATTGTGTCCTGGGAAGGTAAATGCTGGAACAATTATTTTCTAATATAGCTCTTTTACCAATCTTCTTGTTCCTCTATTTTTGTCACTCATTACCAAGTCAAGAGTTGATAAACATCCTTTTAGTGCCCAATTCTTAAGTGTTTCTCCCTGGATGCATAACAATGAATTCATTACCACTGGTACACAATTTGCATTGTCAGACAGACAAAATTGAGAGAGGGAGACATGTAATGTACAGAACACTGTGAATTTGACATGATCTTCGCCTAATTCTCTAGGGAAATAAGGACTTTGGCAGGATAACTGATGGGTTTTGGTAGTTGGTTAGGTCTTTTTATTTTTCCCCCAGTCATGTCCTGAAGGCAAACAATGGGTATTTGCTGGCATTTCACATGTGAGAGAACATCAGATTCCAGAATGCGAACACATTGAGTTTTGCACACAGAACTTCCACATTTATACACTTACACCACTGGTCAAGTTGGGTGTGGTTTTCAAATCACCCTATAGCAGCCAACAGGGTAACAATGAAAAGTGATTAATAAACTGCAAATGAATAGGTCCCAAAGAACCATATCTTTTCAAGTAGAGTTTACTCAAGGTGACTTTGGGGTAATTACTTGGTCATCAGTGACTGCTTCCCTAAAACTTGGAGGGCAGCGGTGACGACCATCCTAGGTCTAATGTAGCAATAACAAATGAGATCAAAAGCAAACTAGGAGCCATCAGAGAGGGCTGGACATTAATTTGCCGTCAAGTTTGAAATGCTACCAAAGACAGCTCTTCATAAGTTCAAGGGACAAGAAAGAGTTCAGCAAAATCTTGATGTTGCTTTATTCAATTGTTGTTTTACTTGCAATGCCATCAGCAGTGGACAACAAACTGCTTTGTTTTCCTCTATTTAAAGCAGGTAGTCATCCCGCAGAACTCCTTCATTGGAAGACATCAGCCACTTAGGGCTGACACAGACTCTCAGAGGGACCTCAGTTATCGGATAACATCCCATGTTTAATATTCTTCCCCTACAAAGACTGATTTCTGAGCCTCTGATCTTCCATTCATTTATTTGGCCACATCCAAGGAAGAGTTCACATTTTCATATTTTGAGTGCTTTCAAGTTTCAGCTTAACATACTCAGATGGACCCCTGTTTCCTGGTGCCCATCAGAAATGAGAGAGACTTCCCCAGGGAGGCATACGAAGTTTTAAATTAAAACCTGGGGGCAGAAGGGAGTCTTACCTTCGATTTTGGCATACTCTGATAGCCGGGAATAGTTGACTAAAGCAGCCTGCTCTAGACATTTACGGATGACTGTTTTTACCTCCTCTTGTGGCACTGGGGTAACGATGTCTTTCATCAAAACCTTAAGGTGGGGAAGGAAAGGTTATTCAGATGGTTCAATTAGCTGCATTACTCATTTATATTTCTTAGAGAGTTCAAATGCACAGTTAGAATGGCAAAGCCTGTCCATGAACCAGGGAAGGTCTAGGAACATATCTTCAACAGATCCAACTATTTGTTGTCTGGAGAGAAAACACCTAGATTTTAGGCAGTTTCTTCATGCTTACTTTGATATTTGATGAATGGTAAACAATACCTCAAAAATTACAGTCTAGGTTATTCAACCACAATATTCCATTACAATTTTGTTCATGTTTCTATATATGTGGAATCTGTCTTTGACTTTCATTCTTACCCTTTCCAGGAGTGAGAGAGTAGCTTTCAAAGCACCTTCAGGTCGACCAAATGGAAAGCAGTACCTAAAAAAGAGAAAATTCTTCAGGTTGCCCGATTTATTACACTTTAGCATGAAGTATACTGAAATTTGATTCCTATAGACATTCTGTGAGGAACAGAAAGTGCTTTCTATTTTGTCACGTTGTGTTATGTTAATCTGAATTCACACCATCTATGTGTGTATATAATGTATATATGTGTATGTGTGAATGATGACTGAAGAGAGACTCTGCAGACGTCTGCAGCAGACAAGAATATTTAGGGTGATGACAAGGCTCTGTGTAGATTTCTATTGTGAAGAGAACCATTTGTTAGCTCAAAGGAGACCTTAAATATTATTATAGAGACCAGCATTATAAAAATATTAGTTGAAAGAGGGTAAGATTAATCCCTAAAGGATTCATATGGAAAATGAAGGAAGGTCTTTTAAACAAATTCATGGTTCTGCAAATTGTCCTTCTTTGCCTGTGGTTTTTAATTATTAATGGATTTTCCATTATTGGCAATGCATCTTGCATGTAGTGAATGATCAATAAAGATTTATCCAGGGGGGTCTGTGTTAGATATCACTAGGAATTCCACTGACTGTTTTAAGCTGTCACCAGCCCTTTGGGACACAGTTCCTTATGGTACAAAGGGACCAGCATGGGCTACATACACTCAGACTGGCCTGGGGCAAGTCTTGAACGTCTCTCAGCCTCAGTTTACCTGTTGTTTAAATGGGGACCACAATAACTTCCTTACAAAATTGTTCTGAGAATAAACAAATAATGAGATGCTTATCCAGCCCCTGTATCTGGAAGGGCCTGATAACAAGGACGTATTTATTATGCCATTATAAATGGGCTTCTTATTTTTGAGTTACTGGTTCAGGCTTCGGGTCCGGAACCACAAGTGCAGCGTTAGAAATGACGGATTTGTCCCAAGGAGAAGTGGGCCACATGGCACCAGGCTCAAGGCAGCCGCTCCTGCTGGCTCCAGGGTGTGGAGAAGAGCCAACCTGCAAGGCCCATCAGCTTTCCTTCCCTGAGGAGCAGCTCGCCCTGTCCCTGAGGGGAAGGTGGCTTCCCCTGTGGGTACCACTGCCTTCCTTCCCTGATCACATGATGTGGTTCACAAGGCCTTTCAGTGCTTTATTTAGGAAACCTGAAGAAGCTTCCAATACAACTTTTTAATAGATTAAACAAAAACTAGGTTGATGACCCGGGTCAACTTGTACAAGGAAGGGCTGTTCCCTTGGTGGAAATAAAATGACCTTAAGATTTCAAAGTCTCTGAGCTATTGTGGAGCCCAGTCTGATCGGTTTGCTTTTTCATTCGGTTATTTCTAAATATCCAATGTGTATCTGATGGACTTACCATTTCAGTAAATCAAGCCCCCCTAGTCTCCCCCTCCTAAGGAGCCCCTCTACCCCAGATCCTTACCTAAAATGTGTAATCTGATTTTCCAACAGAACTCGGAGTCTCTCTTTGATTTCTTCAAAACGTTCCTTTTCTTCCACAGTCACAGTTCCGATCCCATCGGGCCTGAAGGAAGACATGGCATGAAGTGACAGGAACCTCGTGTGCTGACACCATCCAATCAAACCTCCAGCAGGAGGAAACTGTCTCTTTCAGAAGAACAATGGCAATGACAGAAGTAGCCTTAGGAGAAGTCCTGCTTCTCAGAGCTGGTTACTAAAGGGGTGGCGGTGTTTTGGGTTATCATTTGCAAAATTGTCGCTCATTTATTGTGAAATGGTAAAATGTACAAACTAGTGGCTTGGAGGTTCAACTTTTAGGTCTGTGTGTCTCATAGTTTCTTAAAATTTTTAACTATTTGCCAACATTTTTTAAATTAGGAAAGTTTTGTAATACAATTCTCTTGAAAATTTGGAACAACTAGCATTAGCAAAAACAAACAAACAAAAAACCTCAAATAATTTGATTAAAAATTGGGCAGACAACTTGAATAGATGTTTTTCCAAAGAAGACATACAAATGACTAACAGGTAGGTGAGAAGATGCTCAACATCATTAATCGTCAGGGAAATGCAAATCAGATTCACAATGAAATATCATCTCGCACCTGTTAGAGTGGCTATTATCAAAAGGTCAAGTATAACAAGTGTTGGTGAGACGATGGAGAAGAAGGAATGCCTGTGTACTGTTGATGGGAATGTCATTTGGTGCAGCCACTGTGGAAAACAGTATAGAGCAGTGGTTCTCAACCTTCCTAATGCCACGACCCTTTAGTACAGTTCCTCATGTTGTGGTGACCCCCAATTTCATTGTTACAAATTGAACATAATTAAAGCATAGTGATTAATCACAAAAACAATATGTAATTATATATGTGTTTTCTGATGGTCTTAGGCGACCCCTGTGAAAGGGTCATTTGACCCGCAAAGGGGTTGCGACCCACAGGTTGAGAACCACTGGTATAGAGGAACCTCAAAAAATTTAAAATAGAACTACCAAATGATCCAGCAATCCCACTTCTGGGTATATCTGAAGGAAAGGAAATCTTGAAAATGCATCTGCACCCCCATATTCATAGTAGCATTATTGTCAATAGCCAGGATGCGGAAATAATCCAAGTGCCCACTGACAGATAAATGGATATATATTTCACATATATTTTCATATATATTTCATATGCATATAACATATTAAACATATAAAACATATATATATATAAAACAAAGGATAAAGGAAATGTAAATTATTATGTGTGATGAAATATTCAGCCATAAAAAAATAAGAAAATCCTGCCATTTACAACAATATGAATGGACCTTGAGGGCATGATGCTAAGTGAAATGTCAGTCAGATAAAAACAAATATTGTATGTTCTCACATATGGAATCTAAAGAAGTCTAACTCATAGAAATAGAGAGTAGAATGGTAGTTGCTGGGGCCTGAGGGGTGGGGAAAATGAGGAGGTGTTGACCAAAGGGTACAAACTTCTAGCTAAAGCAGAGCAGGGGGACTCTAGTGAATAATCTATAATAATAAAAGCATAATATGCAAATTGATCGAATGGCTGAACAGTGGAAAGACCGTCCGGACGACCTTCCAGTTGACCTTCCGGGCAAAGCAGGGGCTGCAAGGGCCTACTCTTGCACGAATTTTGTACATCGGGCCTCTAGTACTTATTATATACTTCAAAGTTGGTAAGAGAATAGATACTAAATGTTCTCACCACACACAAAACAATGGTAATTATGTAAGGGGATGTAGGTGTTAACTAACCTTACTGTGATAATCATTTTACAATATATCTGTGTATCAAATCACAACATCGTATACCTTAAACCTACATATATTTGTCAATATCTTAATAAAGCTAAAAAAAACAACCAAACAAGCCACATACGATGTTTTTCAATCTTAGCAAACTATTGCTCATTTTAATACAACAGACCTTAGCACAAATAAGTGAATTTCAGTTTAATCACGGTATTCCCGTGTTTCTAAATTGGCATTAGGTCCACACACATTTTCCCTGTTTGGTTTGGACCATTTAAGTTGAAAATACAAAGGGACGCTGCATATCTACAGCTCAAATTTATCTGTGCCAAATTAGACGAAGGGTAATCTGACCCATTCAAAGACTTCAGCTTCCCAGATCGGTAGTGACTTGTTTTGACTACTGCCTGAGCCAGTTTGCAGGCTGGTGCGTCACCATGAAACTTCTATTGGAACATTCCTCAGTTTGCAAATGCAAGTCATCTTGAGACCAAACAAATGGTCTTATTTATAGGCCTTCTCAAGGATCCAGCATAAGTTGGGAAAATCCTGTACACTAGACCAGTCTGACTACACAAAGACTTGGCAAATTATAGCAATGTACCTCCTGTTAGGGGTTGATCGGTCAGTTTCCTTCTTTGAAAATACTGAAAATGTCCCACTGGAAAAAAATGAGAACACCCCCCTCCCCCCCCCCACACACAAAACACTGCTAAATGGTAAAATCCTGTTATGATCCACTTTTTCATAAAAGTTCCCTTGAACTTAAGGGAAGAAAAAAGGCAAAATGGTAAATATTGGGTAGGCTGTGGTAACCTATGAATGTGCCCTTATTTTCAAAATTTCTGGAGAAATCTCAAAAAGTTTATTAAAAATCTGTAGTTAAATCTTGAATTCATTGGCCCCCATAAAATACATGTGACATTTTCTGTGGTAAAGTCTCATGTTTAATCTACAACTTCTTTTAGCTGTGGCTTTTGGAATTTGTTTACACAAAATTTGACTTACTAACACACCGAACACACGTTTATACAATTGGCATGTGTGTGCATATACTCGATTTGGAAAAAATAAGCCATTTTAAGATTTTTGTTTCTTAGCAGGGAATTAACCCAGAGAAAAATGCTATTAAATATAATTTACAAGTCACAGAGAGGTTTGGCATGGAACTATTTAACACTAGAGGGCCGGTGCACAAATTCGTGCACTGGTGGGGTCCAGCCAACCTGCCCCAATGGGGGCCATCGGTGGCGGGCTGGCTGGAGTGAGGGGCCGTGGGTGGGGCCAGCCGGGGTGAGGGGCCGCAGGTGTTCCTGTCATTACATTGTTCTGTCAATTTGCATGTTACCTTTTTATTATACAGAATGGGCAGCCCAGAGATGCCTGCTGCCATTATTAGGAGATAAACTTCTCGGAATAAAATCATTCATTCCTTAACTAACGAGTCTTCTATGGCTAACTTAGGCAATTAGGAGGGAACTTTTAGGTTTGCATCTGAGATGATAAAAACTAAACATTTTGTGTGTGCCTGGCCTTCTCAGTTAATTCTCACTATGAAGGGTATTATTACAATGTAAAATTTGATTATGATTTTCCCTTTTGTTCTGATGACTCAGATTTGTAATGATTAAAGGTGTCAGCTAGCACCTCCCACTTCCCTGACAATCTCTCCTTTCTGAACTGTTATCTCACTATTCAGAAAAAGTAAACAACTAAAATTTATTGTTGTAATCTATTCTTAAATTTGCTTCTTAATTGCCTATGTTTGTATGAATACTTTCATTTTAAAATAAATGAAACTAACTCAACATCTGTAAGGCATGTAGTGCAGACACACACACACACACACACACCCCAAAACCCAAAACCCAGGTGATAAAAAAAATCAGGATTTTGACAACGAATGCAAATTTGTTTGCAATTGCCAGAACTGCTCTGAAATGGTAGTGGTAACAGGGGATGTTATTTTACAAAAGGAAGAGACATGAGGGAATAACAGAATTTGTTAAAGATCACAGGTTGTAACCATGTCAGTTAAAGAGCAAAAATATCCTTTTTTTAAACATAATTATTTTTGAACAGTCTATCAAACATCAACTTATTTTTCATGGACCCTTAGATTGCCTATGCTAATTGTACAGGTTTAGAAAGATTTCTACAGAGCTATTAATTGAAAAGTCCTGTTCAATATTTGGGGGAGCACTTCTCACAGAAGCAATTAAACCCCTTCCCTAGGGCAGTGCCTCAGAATGACCTGGACGGCTTTGCCCTGACCGCATGGCTGGGCCCCACCCAAGAGTTTCTGGTTCCGTAAATGTGGGTGGGGTCTGAGAATGTGCATTTCTAACAAGTTCTCTGGCCACGCTGGTTTGGAACCCACACTGAGAACCGCTGCCCTCGAGCAGGGAAATATTTTTTTGCTGGCTCTTCCTGTAGCTGAAAGGATATTTCTGATCCAGAGTTCCCAATTTCCCTTGGATTGGAGTGAATTAAATACGGGATGAAGATTTTAAAAAAACACACAAATAAATATAGCATTTAAATATCTAAAAAGTAAATAAAAATCAAAATAAAATCAGAGGTGTCCTCCAAGTGCCTGGTGCCTTGGGGACGCTAGCAATCCCTTCCACAAGTGCCGTTTGCACTGTTTCCAAGGTCATTCCAAGCCGTGCTGACCGAGAAGTAAACAGAAGAACTTATCAGTCTCGGCAGCCACGCTGATGTTGTTGTTTTCTGGAAACATTTGGGGGTGAGTCTACAATTGCCATAAAACTGGTTCCTTTCTCAATACTTTTAACACTTAGGGTGTCACAAAGAATGGGAGAGGAGAGATGGAGCTGGGTCTTAAACTCTTAGCGAGTAAATCCCAGCTAAGATATGTCTACTCAGAGCACATGTTGAGGCCTGAATACCCCAAATCCTCTCGCGTCCTGGCTGGTGCATTTTCTGGCTTTTTGTGGCTTACCGTCCACTGCTATTTCCTAAAAGCAGCTGAATTTCCTCTGGAGGAATGACCTTGGCAGCACTGTGAGGACCTTGGGGAAGGTACACTGAGGTGCCTATTTCCCAGCTGTTGATGCTGAAGACCTTCCCATGGGCCAGTTCCTCCCTCTCATGGTCACTGTCCACTGTCCCGTGACCTAAACTCAGCCCATGGACAGAAGAGAAGACACAGGTGGATTTGCTGGTCCAGCAGCTGTGCCCTCACCAGACGATCCCCAACAGTCAGTAGCTCTAAGCTCTGGCTGTACTTTCTGGAACAGTGAGAGCTCTGGTCCCGTCCGCAGGCTCTGCTT